TTCTTAAGGAAAACATGTTTATTAAGTTAACCAGATTCGGATGCACATGGGACTCTTAAGTAGGAAATAACTAGAAATAACTTGAATACATGCTGAAAAGTACATTTAGATGACAAATCTACTAGCTTAAAGGACAAACAAAGAGATCTAGGCAAGATTTCACCTTGTCGGGCAAGGTTGAACTTCTTGCAGCCACTTTTCTTTGAGTTTACAGCGGTTGTATGCTGAAGAATGGATGAACGGTAAATGGGTTTTACAAGAGGGAATCAATATTACAACACTAGGGAATGTAGCAAAGTTTTTACACTAGACGAATGATGGCTTTTCTAAGGAAATTATTGTTAAAAAGACTTAATCTAGGTTGATTCCAGCTTGTCTAGGTACGAACTAACTTGAGAGCAGAGTTTGTATGTTTGTTTGTTTGATTGGTTGAGTGTCCTTATCTCAGATGCTTGCTTCCCCTTTTATAGGCAATTTGGCCCGACTTCTTTTAACTCTGCTCTTGCCTGAAAGCTTTTGAAGGGTAGTGAGTCATCATCTTTTTACTTGTAGTGCCACTAGAAAGTGTTTTTAGCTGATTATGAGTTGGTCTCCATCACTTGTCATCTCAGTCATAGTCAAGTGACCTATGCATTAATGGAGAGGCGGTACTTTTGCTTCAAGCCTCTCGACTGGACTTCGGGCAACTTTCTCTTTGCTTTGGTGCCTTTGGGCTCTTTTTTACATAAGCTTGTTGATGCAAAACTGGAGGGGTCTTGGAACAACGTAAATCCGACCGTGAATCTGCAAGAAAGTAAATAACACAAGATGTATCGTGGTTCACCCCAATGTTTGGGCTATGTCCACACTGATATTGTATTTCTCTGAGAGGATTGTGAGGATGAGAGGGTGAGAGCCTCTGAGGGTGAGAGTGAGGCTTCTCATGGCCTCAGAATTGGCCTCATGAAAAATATTTAGGGAACTTAGACCATTATTTATATATTAAGAAGCGAGCCCTTATTCTATAAAAGGAACTCCCTCACTTTCATTAGAGAGCACCCATTATTCATGTATTAAGGAGCGAACCCTTATTTTATAAAAGGGACTCCTTCACCATCATTAGAGAGCATCGCCGCCTGTTGAGCAACTGCCTCGCCGCGAGCATCACTCCTAACCCATTATTCATGTACTGAGGAACGAGCCCTTATTTTATAAAAGGGACTCCCTCACCTTCATTAGAGAGCATTTCCGCCTGCTGAGCAACCGCCTCGCCGCGAGCATCACTCCTAACCCATCACTTATGTATTAAGGAGCGAACCCTTATTCTATAAAAGGGAGTCCCTCACCATCATTAGAGAACATCGCTGCCTGCTGAGCAACCACCTCGCCGCGAGCATCGACTCTAGCCCATCATTTATGTATTGAGGAGCGAGCCCTTATTCTATAAAAGGGACTCCCTCACCTTCAACGCCACAAGTCGAGCCAACCAAGGCAACATAAGCCACAAGCAGAGCAACCTCGCAACATGTGCTACTTCTAGTTGAGCATCATTTCAGATTGGGCACCGCCTCATATCGAGTATCAGTTCTAGACGACATCTAGTTACTTCGGCCCACACATGGACTGAATTTTAAGTCTCCAGCCAAAAGACTCTCTTGACTGAAGACTTGGGGGACTACTGTTTGTACCATACTTAGGGTCTCTGTATTTAGATCTCGTGTAAATACTCGGGGGACTCAAATGTAATTATGTAATAAATGAAGAGGCAAATATGTAATAAGTGAGGAGCCATTATTCTATAAAAGGACTCCTCACTCTCCTCATTAGGGGAGGCCAATTCTGAGGCCATGAGAAGCCTTTCTCTCACCCTCAGAGGCTCTCACCCTCTCATCCTCACAATCCTCTCAGATAAATACAATATCAGTGTGGACGTAGCCCAAACATTGGGGTGAACCACAATACATCTTGTGTTATTTACTTTCTTGCAGATTCACCGTCGGATTTACGTTGTTCCAACACCCCTCTGTTTTTGTGCATCAACAAAACCCAATGTTTAAATATCAACTCAAACAGGTTCATCATTTCAGCTATTTACAGCACTTGACATTCGCAGATGACCAATTTCACATATTCAAGAAATCATCAGTCTGTTGTCGAGTGATGTTAAGAACTCGTGGAACTTATTGAGTTAAACTCATCGTAGTTGCTGCAACAACTTCTCCAAATCTTGCTAGTTCTACTTATCCACACAGCAGCCCCGACTTGGATAAATTCTTCACTGATCAATGAATTACATAAATAGCCTCTGAGATTTGAGCTCACATTGTAAGACAATCGTTGCTTAAACATGAAACCCGTGTACAAAAAATGAGTTTCCTGTATATGTAACCACTCTGGCCTCAGCCCCTACACACCATATATGGGCTTGCAGTTGCAAAGCTCTTTTCACCCCTGCTGTTTCCCATACAAACTTGAAAAGCCCAAGAGCCCTGTCCAACTGCCTCATCCTACTCCAAACCACATCCTCCACGTCCGAAGTCACAATCCTTTCCATGCACAAGCAGGAATCATTCTCACTACCACAGCTATAAACCCCACCGCGTACATCCAATTCAATATATCTAACATGCCCATAGAGGTAATATAACAAAAGTGTGAACAATTGGGTTCTACCTTCTGACAATGCCGCCACATTATTCTTCAGCGCTCTGCGTACCAACGGAGCTCCAATAAAGACCCTGGAAGGTGACTTGAAAGTATGCATTCTGTGTTCAACACGGTTGTCAATGATAATCGAACCATCACTGATATTAACAAGCCTTCCATCAGTCAAATCGATATGTTTCAACAATTGGGTTAATTTCGTCAACTCAGGAATGCCTTCTGATGCCACTTTGACTCTGGTGGGAAAGGCTGTTCATGAAACTCCTCCGAGGAATGATACAGCTGCGCATTCAAATGCAAAGCTCCATTTCGCTTAGCCATTAGATGCTTTGCACCGTAGATAACCTTGCCCATATGTCTACAGGCCATTGTTCGCTGGAAAAACAAAAAAAAGAAAGAAAAAAAAAACCTCCAAATTACCCTTCAATTCGGCACTCCCAAACTAAAATTGCAACAGTAAGAGGACCGCAACCGGATTGAGACAATACATAAAACAGATGGCGTGCAAGTTTATTGTTTTCACGTAGGACTCGAACAATCAACCATTCGAGGTTGCTTAATCGGGAGTAACAAAGGTAAGAAACAATACAACACCATTAAAACCATTAAACATGGGGAAACGTTTTGTTGGTTTCTAAAGAAAACATGTTATTCTATAGAAGAATGACGTCCAAGTACAACATAAGCGATACTTCTTCCGGTTATATAACACGAAAAATACATCTAAGACTCCTCATGCAGCGGTGTCTTCAGCTGAATTTGAATAAGGCTCAACGTGGTGTCCTACCAGACTCGTTCCAATTTGTCCTCCCTGTTTTCCCTTCAAAACAAGTAAAAAATAAAAAATAAAGAATCATGAAACTGATGGCAAATGAAAAGAGTGTTATTCACCATGAACTAATGTTTTGGTGGTTCATGGACTTCCTTTTCACTGGTCTTGAAGAAGAAGAACACAGATATCAGAATCAAGAGAGATATTTGAGGAATTAGAGATGATTACAAGTAGAACAAGAGGATAGCGGGAGTAGTAAACTCAGGATCGATCCATGGCGAGTGATAATATACTCGCATATTCTGCAGAAATGAAGAATGAATCGAAGCATAGGTACAAGATCAGAGGAGAGAGAGAGAGAGAGAGAGAGAGAGAGAGAGAGAGAAGTTGTTTCTTGTGTCCCAAATGAGGGTTATATACTTACATATAGTGCAGCACTTACACTCTTTCACACGACGACTAGTTCACAGTATGGCGATGATTTACACCTAGCATGGGGTTGTGGCTACGGAGCAAGGGACATGCCAAACTTTACTCATCGCTTACGAAGTTTTCCCCTTCAACTAATTTCAATATAATATCGCATGCTAAAATATACTCATCACTTGACCTAAAGCAATAAATATTGATTGACATCACTTTTTCTAGTTTAAAATTTAAACTCTAGATCAACATTTACAAAATATAGTTTAAATATATAGTCCTTCCAACATTTCTCGCCGCATAAATGAGTTTATGAAAAATTATTGACGTGTTGGGATGGTTGAGTATTTAAGGTTTAGGGTGGGAGGGAGAGCCAGAACTTTTACCATATATAACAAAGGAAACTACACAGCTAATTAATTAAAGAGGGTGCATGGTCCATTTGGTTGATGCATATGGGAAGGTAGGAATGGGCGATGCTAGATGCATAGAAAGAAAAAGAAAAAAGTAATGTCCAAGCAACAAATTGGATTGGTTAATGCACCCACATGTCATGATTAGCTAGTCAAGGAATTAGGTACGTAGTGAGATCTTCTGAATATGATATGAAAGAACTCATAAGGAAAATATGTCAAAATAATAATATATGATGGTTTTTTAGCCAAGAAAAAAAAGAGAGTAGTAAGCATATGTGGTTTAAAGGAGTATTTAGTGGGATGTTGGGACGAGTTCACTGAGAATTTTAGGTTTAGGTTTTGAGAGGGAGGGAGGATTCAAACTTCACGTCTCGGCTGTAAGTGAAAATGCTCTTAACTGCAAACAAAACAATAGACCAAAAGCTAATTTGTGAAAGGTATGACAAACGTCATGGCTTGTTTTATTTTGGTGGTGCTCTTCACACACCAATTTTTACTTCTCGTACACCTTTCTCAATTGTCGGCCATCAGATAAAATAACGGACAAATATTAACAAGGGTGTGCGAATCGCACTACCTTTTTGTTACACTCTTTAAAGGTTTGTCGTGTTTTCACACAAGTCACATTAGTTTTCCTAGATTACAAGAATAATCTCTAAAGTTTCAAATTTATTTAATTAAATTGTCCACTTTTCCAAAATTCAACCATTTCTCCTCATTTTTGCTGAAGTGCCAAAAACCCTTGGTCCTGATAAATTAGAAAACTTTCAAATGATCATAAGCTAATCCGATCAACAAACGACAATCATTTCTCCAGAAATACAGCAGATGAACAGTCACATAACTTAGCTTCCGAACAAATTTTAGCAAGTTTATAACTCTAACAACCAGACAGCATCTAGCATAATTTAGAAATAAAAAATGTCAAAATTTAATGCAACAACTTCCCCATTTGATAGCTTTGACGTGTTATTTCTTTGACTGAGCAATATACTTGGTAAGAACGTAGCAGTCTGGAGGGGTGATGTTTGTGTAATAATTCTGGATGGTTTCCGTGATTTCGAACCCAAATTTCTTGTAGAAGTTTATGGCGTCCTCATTGTTTGTCTGAACATGCAAGTATATTTCTGAAATATTTTGCTTGGCGCACAGATCAAGAGAATGGTTCAACAGTTTTTTACCTGCAAAAATCCCAGAACTTAGATAAGAAAACTACGCGGTTGTAAATATCCAGGTTAAGCAAATATTTACCGTAAGACAGTACCACCAAAAAGTATGAGGACTTTTTCTTGACACCTTAATCTTAATTCTACCAGACATTTAAAGAACAATTCACTGTATATATAACAATAAGCATTAAGCATGACTTGGTGGTTTCAACCACGGTTGTAACCAATAAGCATGACTTGGTGGTTTCTCAAACAGAAACCCCCCGGGCCATACCGAAGTTATAATACGAAGAACATTGCTTGCTTACCAATGCCTAGCCCACGGTATGGTGCTAGAACTCCCAATGTCATGATGTACACGCGGACAGCTCCATTTTCCTTTTTCTCAAGCCGGCATGCAATTGCACCAACACATATATCACTGAAATATGCTGTACAAAAATAATAGCAGGAATCAAACTTTCATCTTTCATAATGTTTGTCAATTTGGCATGTAGTCAACTTCAACAGAGACATGAGAGACATGAGTGCTAAGGGAAATAAAAAATCCCAAGAATGATAAATTAAGGGTATACCTACACAGAAAAGGTTTGCAATTTTGTTTACATGTACCAGGTATAACTGTCAATCTAGCTTTCTAGACCATATATGCACCTTCAACGAGATACTGTAAGAAATGGACTCTCAGTGAACAAGCTTGTTAAACTTAGACAATAGTCTCACATTGGTCCTCACACAGTAGCATACGGCACATACAATTCATAACAGGTTACATTTGAAAATGCTCAAGCTACTGTCCGACCAACTTCTTCATTCTTAATGACCCTCTTTGCACGTCTAATAAGACATACAACATCAGTCCTCCCAAAATCATGCCCACATATTAAAAGAACTAGCACTACAAAATTTTACTGGGGAAGTAGATTATAAAAATAAACATAACTCATCAAAGAAGACATCTAATTTTGTTCAGGTAGTGCTATCCACACACCCATTTTTACCTCTCACACACCCTACTCAATTTCCGGCCATTCGATCATTACGAATTGAAGAAGATCAATGGACTAAAATTAACAAGGAGATGTGGGAGGTAAAAAGGGGTGTGTGAATAGCACTACCCTTTTGTTATTGAGGAACTGATAAAGATTCAGGGGATAGCTGATCACTCAACTACCTCACTAATGCTGCACCAGAACCTTGTCATTTATCTTCAAAAATATGTAGTTCCTCACGGTTTTTTTAGAACACCAACAAGCAGAAACAATTGACTTAAGACACATAACTATCAAACCAAGCATTACTACCATGACCAAAACTACCCAAATCCCTGACATAACAATAACTTTCCATCCCCAATTTACTTGAAGGTCCAATGAGCTAACATCCAATATTTCTAAGCGCAAGCCATAAACAAGTTCCATTTTCGGATAACCAGAAGCAAACAAACAACAACGAAGATTACGAAATACCCAGAACGAACAAAACCACAAAATATTCACAGAACAGTAATTAGAAGTAGAACATAATTACAAGCTCAAATGACTATAACCCATCAAATGTTTTACAAAATAACCAATAGCCAGATGAGATTTCAGGGCATTTGAATAAAGAACCTACATTTGCACAAAATAAGCAAACCCCACAAAACAATATGCATAATTAAGCAAAACCCAGAAAATATTAAGCAAAAATAAACAAAACCCAGAAATATTATGCAAAATTAAACAAAACCCAGAAAATATAATTAAAAAATAATAAAGACTCAGAATCGAAGCTCAACCTAGCTTGGTGAAATCGCCGGAAGCGAGGGCATCGGCGTAGTACTTGTCGTTGTAGCGGACTGGGAAGAGGGCAGTGTTGAGTTTCTTCAGCTGCATCACGTTCTTGTCCCGCAGTCCGTCCAGCGAGCTTTGGACCTCGCGCCCAGCCCCCATTTCTCCACGGAGAGTTTTGCTTGACAGAGAAGACGAGCAGAGAGAGAGAAGGGGAAGGGGGACGGTTTGGAATATTGTACGGACGCCGCATCTTTGGGTTTTTGTGGGAGTGGTCTATGGTCCGGGTCGGGTCATGGAGGTAATAGTTTGATGGTTCGGGTCACAATTGGTAAAACTTTAAAATATAGGCCCATTAATAAGAAATGTGGTTAATTAGACTATGAATGCTTGGCTCCTCGAAATGATTTTCTCACAACATTGGCTGATTTATTCATACCGTTAATATTATACTAGTCAATATGCGCAGACGTTATAAGTGTGTAATTTAAATTTGTCTATTATTTATTAAGAAAATATTTATTTCACTTCTTAAAAATTAAAAATAAAAAAAACTTGAAAAAAGAAATTTGAGCGTGGAATTTTGAAGAAGGGGTTAAGGGGGTTGTTTTGAAGTGGGAGACCTCGGTTTAAAGAAAAAACCTCCTCCATTATTTTTTTTTTATTTTTTAAATAGGATATATTACGTTTACTGGTTGTGAGGTTTATGTAAAATAGAAGGGATGTGCTATCCACACACCGTTTTTTTACTTCTCTTACACCTCTTGTTAATTTCTGTCATTTGATTTTTTTCAATTCTTCCTATCCGACAGCCGAAAATTAGAAGGGTGTTAAAGAAATAAAATGAGGTGTGTGAATATCACATCCCAAATAGAAAATTGGAGTGGTATGTAATTTTTTTTTTTAACAAACGATATTTTCTAAACTAAATGAGAGGGGTGGGCTTAGCCTCATAATGGGTTAGCAATAATTTGGCTCAAACTCACTTTTTGCGAGAATTGAACCTAAAACCTCCCACTTACAAATGAAGAGGAATTGAACTTAAGTTAAGACCTCACACTTACAAATGAAGAGGAATACCACTAAATCTGTATTATTAAGTGGCAAAAGACTTCACCCCATATCAGAGTGGTATGTAATTATTAAGTTGCAATGTTTTTAATTTTGTTTAGCTTTGATGAGAGGATTATAATAGTAATTTCATAGAATTTTAGTTGACAAATAGTGTTCCATTAATAGGTAATTTAGATATATTATTCTATAATTACTTTTAGTAAAACAAGAACTAAAAATAAAATTGTTTAGTCAATCAACTGTAACAAATAGATAGATAGTTTTTATCAATTCTGACAATTTTTTTACAGTTTAACGTCTGCCAAAAAAAAATCTATTATATTGGGTCGGAAAACATTGTTAGTATTTTAGAGAAACCATATGATTATCTTGTAGTGATCCTATTGTCTTTTAGTCACCGCCCAACTTTCTTCAATTCACCAAAAAAGAAGAAAAAGGAGAACTCTCCCGACCTCTGGAGAGAGATAGAGTGAGGAGAGGAGGAGAGAGAGAGATGAGTCTGAAGAAAAAACCCAAGGCAGTAATTGTGGGAGGGAGCATAGCAGGGGTATCATGCGCCCACACGCTCATATCAGCAGGGTGGGATGTTTTGTTGGTGGAGAAATCATATGCTCCCCCAACTGGAAGCCCAACTGGGGCTGGACTTGGCCTTGACCCTCTCTCTCTCAGACTCATCCAGTCATGGATTCAAGACCCTGACCTTCTCCACAAGGCCACTCTGCCGCTTACAATTGATCAGGTACAAATAACAGTTCTCTATTCTATCTCGTTGGATTGTAAATCGAATGCTAGTGAAGCATATGCAAAACGTTTATACATACGTATCAAACTGTGATTTCTTCGCTTTTTTTACGAGCGTGGATATTTTTGTTGGTGTGTAGAATGATGCAATTGATGGTGAGAATAAGGTGAAATGGACGCTAACTAGAGATGAGGATTTCAACTGCAGAGCAGCACATTGGGCTGACCTGCATGCCCTTCTGTACAATGCACTACCACCAAACCTGTTTCTTTGGGGTCACCATTTCCTATCTTTCTCCATTTCCAGTGACAAGTCTTCAGTTATAGTGAAGGCTTCATCCCATCAGACTAATGAAATCATCGAAATTGTCGGTGATTTGCTCGTTGCAGCGGATGGATGTCTCTCTTCCATCCGCCAAAGTTTTGTCCCTGACCATAAACTGAGGTTTGTTATGTCAAGTGTCAACTTTTTCATGAAAATTTTCATGTTTGGAGCTTGTAGTGTGTTGTGATATCATGATATTGTGTGTGTTTTGTTAGGTATTCGGGTTACTGCGCATGGAGAGGGATGCTTGATTTTACTGGAAATGAGAGTTCAGAAACCTTAACCGGCATCCGAAAGGAATACCCTGAGCTTGGGAAATGCTTGTACTTTGGCTTAGGTTCTGGGACGCACACCGTGCTATACGAGCTTCTGAACCGAAGGCTGAATTGGATTTGGTATGTCCACCAACCGGAGCCTGATCTGAAGCATAACTCGATGACCATGAAAGCGAGCAGCGACATGATCCAGAGTATGCACAAAGAAGCAGAGAAAATGTGGCTTCCAGAGTTTGTGAGAGTGATCAAAGAAACAAAAGAGCCTTTCATCAATGCCATATACGACAGTGATCCTTTAGAACAAATCTTCTGGGACAAAGTTGTACTAGTTGGGGATGCAGCTCACCCCACAACTCCTCATGCCCTAAGAAGCACAAACATGTCGGTCCTAGATGCTGCAGTGCTAGGGCAATGCTTGAAGAAGTGGGGAGCAGAAGATTTGCAATCAGCTCTTGAAGAATATCAGTCGATTCGGTTACCAGTCGTGTCCAAACAAGTCCTGCACGCAAGGCGAATGGGTCGGATTAAACAGGGCCTTGTTCTTCCTGATAGACAGCTTTTCAACCCCGAGACTGCTAATCCAGAGGAGTGCCAACAGCTGCAGCAGAAATTCATGCCCTTTTTCTGGGATGTTCCTTCCATACTACTTTAATTCAACCAGATAATCGTCCAGACGCATCGTCTTTCCGGATTTGTGGCCAATAAAGCATGATCTCTGTTTGAGTATTGTTGTTCGATCTTTGTATAAGCAAGATTAAAAGTTTGAACTCCGACTATTTGTACACAATAATGAGCATTCAAATCAAAGCTGTTTATAAACCGATGTCGACGACGCATATGAAAAAATGATTCTGTTATTCATTCAAAACTAAGATAATATTGTCTACCACCATGATTGAGGAAATGCTTAACTCATCCTTATACATCTCTCGCATAACTCATTCCCATCGGATTAAATACAACCTAAGATTGATACAATACGGAAAAATAATATTTCCACAGCAGCTATAACATTCCTAATGGTGAAAAGAAGAAATTACACGTAACACTGTCGTTATGTGATGCCAAGTTTTACCGAGCAACGCATCATCATTTCGAAGGCCATGTAGCTTGAGCTGACATTATGATTCCCACAATCACTCCAAACAATCCAAGTGCACTGCCAAAGATTTCGATCACAAGGATCTTCACGAAAAGCGAGGAGTTTTGGGCATCGGACAATGCGCAGCTGCTTCCAATAATTCCCACGCATAACCTGCCGCAGAAACAAAATCATTGTGTGGTAAGAGCCATAGGACTTTTTGGAAATTCTAAAAGAAATGTGAGAAAGAAGGCTAAAGATATCAACCCGCAGACAAGGTTTGCAAAGCCCACGATTATCCCCGAGGCAAAGATTGCATATCCAGCTCTAAGAGACTCAGGTGCATGCATCTTCGATGTTGGAACACTCTCCAACTTTGTTTGTAGAATAATTGCAACAATAACACCATATATAGCAACAGCTTCACAAAAAATAACACTGCAACAGAAAATGCATCCAATCCAAGTCAGTCCCACAACACATCATTGTAATGTCACACTCGAGCATTTACAACCAGCAGTGCTATGTTAAAGTTGGAAAATTCAAGGTGCATCGTTATCGATAAGCAAATTTCCTACAATGGTGTTAAGAAACAGTTTTCGGGAGTGCTTGAATAGATAGCACAATTCTCCATCCATCAATCAATTAACCAAGTTAGTTTTAAGTGTGATTGCCAATAGCAATATGATCCATTTATCGATTAAGAACTTTCGTTCACAAAATATAACACTGAGACAACCAATCCAGTCCAAGTCAGTCCCAAAACATCATCATCTTAATCACACACTTAAGAATCCATAATCAGCAGAGTTACGTTAAAGTTGAAAATTCAAGGTGCATCGTCAAAGATAAGAAAATCTCCCACATTGGTGTGAAGAAACAGTTTTCGGAAGTGTTTAAATAGATAACACAACTCTCCATATATCAATCAATCAATTAACCGAGCTAGTTATAAGTGTGATTCGTATTTTTCAATTAAGAAATTTAATCCGCTATTGAATTCAATTACTGGGATGCTACTTCAAATCATGAACATAATCCCAATTTCTAGTATTTACATTCACTACATGTTTGCGTTATGAATCCAAAACCAAAAGCAGATGCTAAAATTAAATGAAAATGTAATAAAAAAAGGGAGTAAATTTCAGAAATTTCATCACCTAATGAGATTCTTAGAAGTGATACGAGGGGCCTTGATTGCTGCACCGATCAAACTGCTCCCAGTAATATAAATCCCCCTAATTGCCACAACAACTTACACAATTTAGTAATTAATTAACCCAAAGATTATAACTTTAATCATCAAATGAAGGGGGAATAAGGAAAGGGGAAGAACCAGGCGGCGCCGAGGACGGAGACGCCGATGGCGACGGCGATACCGATAGCGGAGAATGTGTATGGAGAGATCTGGACGAGGGCGCGTGCCCAGGAGCTCGAGTAACCCACCGCTATTGCTGCACCTGACATTTTCAGAAACCCTAATCCTTGAGGTGTGAAATCGGGGATGAGGATTTGGGGAAGGGAGTAGAGAGAGGGAGGGTTTCTGATCTGATTCGTGATTGAGCGAGAAATTTTGTGAGATGTGGAGGATGGAGATTGTTGTTTAACACGCGCAGGATGCGCGCGTGTTTTTTCTTCTGATTACTTGTGTTGTCGACATTTGAGGCCTTCCGTTGGGCTGTGTTTTGGGTTTGGGTCTGCAGGCCCAATGGACTTACAATTGGGCTTCTAAACAACTAAGATATTATTAGTAAGTTTAATGCGTCAACTTACCAGCATCAATGTAATTCCTGAAAATCTTGATGTTCAAGGACGAATTGAAGGCTAACAAGTGGGAAGCAAGTGAAGAGAAATCGAAAACAATAATGTTGTTTAAACAAACAAAATTTGTACACTTGTCGAGACACTCTCTAATTAAAATGAACTTATCATTGCATGAACAACCCTCTTGTATTAGAGAATGTGTGGACTTTGTGTGTTTTAATAGTAGCATTCGAAAGAAAAACTCACATTAAGTTTAGGAATAATCAAGCTTGAAACCACGTCAAGTCGTCAATCCATCGCTAAGTTATATCCCTTCCTCTGTCTTGTATGGAGAAATAGAACTCATTTGCAAGCGAACCGTGGTGAGCACGAAGCCCGTCCAAGTCAGAAAAACCTACCCTCTATTGGTTGTACTATCCTTCAACCGGAGTGCCAACAGAGCCTGGTGAAATCACAACGAAGCTTAGAGAGTCCTTGGCAATAGCGCTCACAAATTATCAAATAATGACGAGCCGGTTGTAGAAGAATGACAAAGAGCAGTGGATGATAAAGTGCAGTGATGTGGGCGTGAGAATGATCGAAGCTAAGGCAAGAGGGAGTTTGGAGGAGTGGTTAACAAATGTGGGTAGGGAAAAGGAGCTTATGCTTGTTTACTGGGAGGAAATGTACCATAAGCCTTATTTTTGGTCCACATTTTATGTTCAGGTAATCATGTTAGTACTCCGCTGCATCACTATCTTCGTTTGTACATAATTACGTATATATCTTTTGCAAAATATAGATTAATCACGTGATGAGAGATAGATACATAGTTGTATACAACTGGTTACGTTTAAGATTTTCTCCTCGTAACATAGAAATATTCTCTTAGTAAACAATTTGACATACTATGTAGTACTCTAATTGAATATTAGTACGACCGGTTTCTTGCTAGGTACATCGTTGTTCAGATTGATAGTTGAGCAACATATCATTTTCTCATATTAACATTTTGTAACATTGTCCCTTTTTCTTTTGTATAGCTTACGGAGTTTGAGGATGGTGGATTAGCAATTGGGCTGAGTTGCAGATCAAACTTGTGCAACCATGTTCTTCAAAGCTTGGGCTGGCAGGACGTTCTTGGGCAAGACGATGCATCCTACATTTTTCCACCCATTGCCTCCGCGGGGGCCGGGAAACAGAAGGCCGAACCAAAAGCCCTAAGCTGCCTTGATCAACCACTACAAAACCTCCATCAACAAGTCATTTCACCTTGTAGGCACAAAACACAGAACTATTGCTCTTGTTTTATCGGACGATATGGTTCCGGCTTGTATGGCCATGGCCCAGCCAGCCCATTGGTGCAACTGGCAAATCAAGCCCAACACTGTTTGAGGTCCTTGCTGGGGTCTTTTAGATTCGTATTAGCAACGTGAAAGGAATGAGAGATGGGCTTGTTAACATGTCCATATGCATGGATATGAGAAAGGTTTTGGGGTCAGATAAAAGGCTCATTTGGAAATTGCATGGTTTATAACAAGGTTCATCTAGGCAGTTTCCAAAAAGAGAATTTTTCACAAGCTGCAAGTTCTATAGGTGAAGTGGTGGCAAAAATGGACACTGAGGGAATCATGGATTTGATCGAGTAGCTTGAATGTAACGGTGATCAATCTCCGTCCTTAGTGAACAGTTGCGATCTCATTTGTTCGAGCTTAGAGACCGTGGACCTATTTTCAGCCATTTTAAAAGATGCGATCGTACCTATTCATTTGTCGTGTTATATTGAGCCGGTGTTTGGATTAGGGCAAGTTTTTATCCTTCTGGAAAAACCAGGAGATGGTGTAGGGTGGTGATGGTTACGCTTCCACGTGATGAGGCCGTTAAAATGTATGAAGAGGATCTTATTTTACGCCTCTCTCCGACCATCTTGATGAATGTGAAATAACCCTAGCTAGGCTTAATACAAGGGTCCAACTATTCCCCAATAAACATTGACAACTGCTAGTCTTTAAGTACAATCCCAAAACATATTATAGCAAAAATTTTAGTCTTAATAGTAATACTACGAGACTGGGTTTCTGAGTACATCCAAATACTCCTCTACATATAAGGTGCTTATGATCATAAAGATTGGGACAAGCCGTATAAGTTTTTTTTTTTTTTTTTTGAAGAACTAGAGCCGTATAAGTTAACCCATGAAAAATGGACACATTTTGATTTCGCTACTAAATTAGGAACTGTAATTAGGACATATATTATTTTAACTGCTCCTCGTAGAATGGAAAGCATACACTATTTTTTAAAAGTCGCCAGAGAAATATAATACACCACCGCACAATTCATTGTTTGTCTTCCATATTTCCAAAGATTGTGTTTTCCTTCATCCAATCTTTAGCAGAAGCTCCCAGACCATGACGTGTTATATTATATATCTAAACCACAGCAGCCTACATTCAGTGTATTTGTATATTAAACTAGGATTTATTTATATTTTTTGTTACAAAAATAAGGTTGCGAATGTTGGATTTCTAGTATATAATTTTTTTGGTTGCTTTGATTTCTGTCTTGCTTAATTTTTGTATGACTTAACTATATACCTTAAAATGGGGGTCAAACTGTGACCGCGATTATTCGGTTGATCTAAACAATCTAATAACATTTAGTTTCCGTTATATTAGATAATGTTTAAAGTTCAAATTTCATGAACTAATGTTGTTAAACAAAAAAGGTCAAAAGTATTGAGGCATTCGGTTTACCAATAGTCCGGCCATATACATACACTTTTAGGGCTAGAAAAGAATAGTATATAGAAAGCAAAAGTCCATACAAAAAATAAACTTAATTAATGAGTTAATGCCCCTAGTCCAAAAGGGTACTAGATTATATATGGAAAGAGATTCTCTTTGGATCTCCTTCATCAAATTCTTTCAATCATTTAATTCGAACTCTTGAAATTTGATCAAACAGCTAAAATTAATATAACTGTTAAATGAACTTCCTATTTATAGTCATTTGATCAAATTTCAAGGGCTCATATTAAATAATTAGAAGAATTAGGTGGAAGAGATCCAGAGATGATCTATTTCCATTATATATGACACATTATGACAAAGAGTGTTGTCAAATTACTAATATTTTTTTGACCAAAAAAGAAATTAGTAATATTTCGAATGAGAGATGTAGATAGCACCTGCACAACTGCAACTATGATGTGCCACTTCTCCAAACCATGATATAAAATATCGATGATATCGGAAATACCGGTAGTCCAAAAACATGAAAATTTCGATGGAAATATCGAGATATTATTAATATCGATAAAAATTAAATAAAAACCACGGAAATTGTAAGAAAAACTTAGAAATTTTTATTGAAACTTTGGAGAATGTTTATTTAGTCAATTATCTATTAGTTTATCAAAAAATATTAGAAGGAAATGCATTACATGATGAATTTAATTGATTTAAGTTGATTATATAGCAAGCTGGCAAACACTGTGAGTGTAGAAAATATGTAGTAATTAATGAAAAAAGATTAAACACACCATAATCATTTATATATAATGATTTACTACAATATTTTACACTTTATACATTGCATGGTAAGATACATAAGTGATTTAGTACCACATAAAGTTCCTATGAGGTTCAAAACTTTCACCATCTTCATCATCTCTATGTGTAGAGAAGTTTATTGTGTAGAGTATTCATCAAATGATAAATCCCCAAAATAGTTTTGCATGTAATTGTTAACATGTCACTCATATAAATATAAATATTTTAGCATATTATCACTAAAACATAAGTGATATATGGTGATTACGGTGTTAGAGAAGTAAAATATGAGGGGCTCAAATCCCCTTTGTGTTTTTTTTCCTCCCTTTTCCCTTTTTTTTTTCTTCTTTTTCTTTTTTTTTCCCTTCCTTTACATCGATATTTTTGATATTTTAGAGATACTATATCGATATTTTGACAAAATATTGCTGAAGTGTGAGCGAAATTATTGACATCGATATTTTCCGATATTATCGTCGATATTGTCGATATTTGTACGATATGTTCCGAAATATCCGTGATTCGAAAAAACCGAAATATCCTCGATATTTCGTCGATATTATTGATATTTCAGACTATTCCTCTCTTTTTCCTTTTTTTTTCTTTTTTTTTTCTTTTTTTTTTCCTTCCTTTACATCGATATTTTTGATATTTTAGTGATATTATACCGATATTTTGACAAAATATTGCTGAAGTGTGAGCGAAATTATCGACATCGATATTTTCTGATATTATCGTCGATATTGTCGATATTTTGTACGATATGTACATGGATATGTTCCGAAATATCCGTGATTAGAAAAAACCGAAATATCCTCGATATTTCGTCGATATTATCGATATTTCAGACTATGCTCCAAACACAGCATAATTAATCTTGTTGGTGTTGCAGTTGATGGAGCATCTAATTGTTTCGAAATTTGGAATTTTTGAATATGCCCTCTTCTCTCCATATTTCTGAACTTAATTTACACCTAGATTCAAAGACAAAGGAATAAGACATGAGCCAAAGTGTTAAATAGACTGACCTATATAGATTAATTGACCTAATTTTTTTTTAAAGGCTGATCTTATAATATGGCTTAAGGTGTTAAGACAAAAAAATATAAATATAGCTAGGGGTGGAAAAACTTTAACCGCAGACTTGAAGAGCAATATCATGAGTACTAGCTAGGTTTGAGTTTTTATTGACAAACTGATATTTTAAACTATTTTAATCTATAAAGAGAGTAAGGGGTGGTTTGGGAGTGAGGTGCTTAAAAAAAAAGCACCTATGAAAAAAAGCTGTGAGGGTTTTAGGTGTTTGGTAA